CTCATTTTGCTTCCGAGAAACATGCAAAACGGGACGGAAAACATGAAATTTTGCAATAATCTTACGCCACCCTTGCACAAAACAACGATAATTTTAATTTCATAGACTACAGATGATTTAGATGTATTTTTTCTACATAACCCCCACCTCCTGAATTTAAAGCTAGATCCGCCCCTGCTTGCGAACCGAACTGTTGAACAGTTTTTGGTTGTGTCTGAGGGTTGATAGTGACTAATTTTAAGGTACTTGCCGGCAAAAGTATACAGGGCGCCAATAACAATGTAGAGACCAAAAATGCTGGCGATGATCGGATTATAGTGGACGGTGAGCATGCAGGGCTGCACATGGATGTTGTGGTTGTCCGGCCAACCGGGGTACACGCCAGAGGCGTTACGAGGGGGCACGAGAGACCCGGGCTTCGCCCCGTTCGCCATCACTGACTTTCCTGCGGCGGAAATGAGCAACAATCACTGATCAAGATCGCGTCGATATGCATGCAAACTGGCCGCCTGCTAATTCATTTTCCGGTTGCCATACTCATAAGGTCGCTGAATAATGAACAAGCATCAGACCGGAATGGGAACACATTCAAATTGCGCGTTTTTTGCCAAAGAAAGGCCACAAATCTACGAGAGTGAAGATGCGTTACCATCGGGGGTGGCAAATGGTGTTCCTTCATGATCCTGATGATGAGCACTAGAACGAAATCCGCACTGGAATCTTAAGCTACATGGGAAATGGAAATGGCTGGGCCTGGATGGATGTTCCAGACTGGGAAAATCCAGACAATGAGTCGTCCAGGGCGCCGCGCTTTGCGCTGCCGCTCGAATTAAATCGAATCCTGCTCAGGCGTCGTTTCCATTCGACTTTTAACTCATATACAGGGTGTTTCGTTTCAATCCTTGTGGAAAAACCGCAGTTTTCAAATCATCGTTTATTCAGTAAAATGCACGTGGATAATCAAATTGCAAAAAATTCTCACGGAATGCTGGTTCTAACATTCTAATTTTGTGGTTGTTTAGTTTAATGCAGCAAGAACTTGACCCAATAAAAAATGGTGAATGCAGCGTCTTATCAATACATCAGTATCGATAAAAGGGGCGACTTCCTGTTGCACTAAACGATCAGCCTTGAAAAGTACATACAAAGAAAACTAGAGGAAAGCGGTATTTTTTGTTCAAACACTTTAGTTTATCACAGAGAATCTCTGAGTGGCACCGCACTCGAGTGGCTATTCCATCGCGTACAGCCTCGTCCATTCTTTGGCCCGAATTACTGCCTCCTGCTCGCGCGATTTCCACAAGTTTGCCACGTCGTTAGCCAGCGGATCGTCCGGGTTGGGGCTGCTCAACAGTGCCTGGATGGAGAGCAAAACGGTGCGGACCTGCAGAGCAGGCGACCACTGATCCTTTAAAATGTCCAGGCATATTCTGCCCAACTTATCGATGTTCGGATGGTAGATTTTGGTCAAAAAGCGCACGTTCGGTGGGGACAGTGGGTAGTTCTCTGGCAGGAACAGCTCCAACTTGAACAAGCCCCCTTCGTAGGGCGAGCCGGCTGGTCCGGCCATCACAACGTGGAAATACCTGCAAAGCACCGTACAGTTGAATGTCTTGCAGGGTAGTTGAGGTGATTTTTGCTTGATTTTACCTGCAGTTGCCATCGTCGGGGGTGGCGCTGATGCCCGGGGGTGGGTCCTTTGATAAATTCCGAGTTTCCACCAAAATTCGGCGTGTCGACCCACTAGCCATAACCCCAAAATCCAATGTATCACGCCTGTTTACTAAAGTGAGAGATGCCGCATGCGAGCCGAAGCGATTTTTAGTAATAACAACCGAAATGGGGTGCGCCTATTTACAGTGTGTTGCTCAATTTAGTGCCTCATTCCAGTAATTACGGAAAATTCGTGTTAAAACCGCACGACGGGCGGATGTATCAAATGATGTTTGACAATGTTTGAGTCTGTGTTTGACAGTTGACGCCGGCGATTCCAACTCGTGTCTAGACGTAGATCCAATGTTTATGTGGGCGCGAATGCTGACAGCTTTTGCCCCGGTGAATGGCGCGCAGTTTAATTTTTTTTTTTTCAGTTTTGTAACTTTTTTTATGTATACAGTGTGGACTTCAGTTCGCACCATATAGGAAACGTTTTTTATTTTAGTCTACGAAGAACAGTTGTTCCTCAGAAAGGTTCTGCTGGACCCAAAAACTTTTTTCATAAAAAGCTGCCCCAAAACGTTTTAAATATTTTCAACTGATTGCAATTAATTTAAACATGCGCCTTCATTTGTTTTACAAAAATACTCTATAAACTTTCAAACTATGCGCCATTTGCCAGGGCGTTTATTTTCATGCGCCTACGTGCGCTCAGCCGGGGAATTTGTGTATTGCCGATTGCCTGAAATCGGTGACAGCAAATCCACTTCTAAACGCACGTATAGACCGAGTGAGTGACAATTCACATGTGTGAGCAGGGTTGCCAGATCCGACAATCGAGTTTCGGTAGATAAGCTCGACACTTTTCGGTAGAAAATCGGTAGACTCATTTTTCTTTCATTATTAAGGGTCAGAGCTGGTTGGGTAGTCCAAAACCTCACCAAAAAAAAGCTGCATAAAATCGCGCGTTTTTCAAAACTTGAATTGTTAAACTTACAGGAATACTAAAATTAGCATGAGTCAGTAAAGAAGCAAAGATGAAATTGTGCTCGTTTTTAGCTTATTTCTCAACTTAGTTTTCATTAGATTAACCTGTGAAAATATCCGTTCAACATTGGCTGATGAGTGAGGTGGAATAAGCAGGTTACAAATAAAATTGGTTAAAATTGGAAAGATGAATGTATCACCTCCATATTTCAATATTTGTACTTGGCTCCAAAACTCTTCAATATTTCCAGAATTTTTTTTAATTTCTCAACATTTCGCAACAGACGTCATTCTGTGTCCAGACCTTGTATTCACTATCAGTAATTAAATTTTGAAATATTTGGCTATATGGCGGCCTGATTCATTTTCTGTTTGAAAAAGAACTCTAAAATACGAGGTGTGCTAAAATAAAATGTCTGCTATTACCAACGTACTTTGATCATGAATGGAAATATGTTATATTATTTTAAGTAATCCACGGATAATTTTTTAAATTTTATTTGTTACATTTGTATCGGTAGATCGGTAGGTTCCTTGACAAATCGGTAGACCTGGCATCTCTGTGTGTGAGAATCTTACTATCATGCGCAAACACAGAAATGACTGAATCAAAAGTTTCGTAATCTGTGATAAAGAAATAGATTAATATCGCTTGTGAATATCGAATTTGCTTCTCACCGATTTTAGGCAACCGGGAATACGAAATTCCCCGGGTGTGCTCACGCATGAAAATAAACACCCGGGGCCAGAGCTGTTAAGATCCTTGCATATTCAAATATCTAGGCTTCCTCTAGAGGCGAGGGGATATTTGTTGTTAAGGTTGGCATCCCTGCCCTCGCTTGACAACTCGATTGACGTCTATGGTTGACATTCTTTCGATTCATCTGCCAGTTCAATCACAGGGAAGATCGGTATGTTTTCTATCCAAATCCTCGAATTTCCCGGTGATCTTCACATATTTCCCAAACTTTTCGCCATTTACCTGTCTACTGAAGGTTTGGCATTACCAATAATTTTCACATTTTAGCTGGTAAACAATGGGTCGTGTGATAAGAGCCCAGCGTAAAGGTGCTGGTTCAGTCTTCAAGTCGCACACCAAAAAAAGGAAAGGAGCGCCCAAATTGCGTTATTTGGACTTTTCCGAACGGCATGGGTACATCAAGGGTGTCGTGAAAGACATCATCCACGATCCAGGTCGAGGAGCGCCTTTGGCTACCGTCCACTTCAGGGATCCTTACAAGTTCAAAACGCGTAAGGAGTTGTTCATTGCCCCCGAAGGACTTTACACTGGCCAATTCGTGTACTGTGGCAAGAAGGCCAGCCTCCAAATCGGTAAGTTGGAAGCTTGTTTTGCGCTTATTTCTGGTATTGAAGGACTTGTTTGCTTGCAGGCAATGTGTTGCCCATTGGAACCATGCCAGAAGGTACCATCGTGTGCAACCTGGAGGAAAAGACTGGGGACAGAGGCCGACTGGCTCGCGCCTCCGGTAATTACGCCACAGTCATCGCTCACAACCATGACACGAAAAAAACCAGAGTCAAGTTGCCGTCTGGAGCCAAGAAAGTTGTTCCCTCCAACAACAGAGCCATGGTCGGTACGTGTCCTTATTTTATTCACTCTTTATGTCCAATTTTTGAACATGATGCGACAAACTAGACTGCCTGAACCTATACACACTGATGAATACTTAGAGGCTCTTTCTGAATCCTGCTGCCAACAAGCAGCAGTTTTTCCCTATACAAATCGCGAATTCCATCAGTTGGTTTGGTTGGCAGGAATTGTCGCCGGCGGTGGAAGGATCGACAAGCCCATCCTGAAGGCAGGCAGGGCTTACCACAAGTACAAAGTGAAGAGGAACTGCTGGCCGAAGGTTCGTGGTGTGGCGATGAACCCCGTTGAACATCCCCACGGTGGTGGTAACCATCAACATATAGGAAAAGCCTCAACCGTCAAACGAGGAACATCTGCGGGACGAAAGGTCGGTCTCATTGCCGCCCGAAGAACTGGACGTATTCGAGGAGGTAAAGTGGATAACAAAAAGGACGACTAGATTTGTCGTCTTTGAAATAAACCATGTTCTTTAAGAGTATCTTTTTTCATTCGTTGAACAAATTACCTTCCGTATTTATCCCCTGTTGCAGCTGATGCAAAGCGAATATTTCATGCGCCGGCAAAATTTCGACAAAAAACGGCAAAAAGTAAATTATATTTATTTCAAATTAAATATATAAAATAACGATTTTTGAAGTGATAACTTTTTATGGGAGGGTGAGCCGGTTTTTCTCGGTGACTGCGGTTTCTTCGCGCATTCGACATTTTTCTCTTAGTGCGGGTGCATCTGTAGATCTGATGAACTTTGCAAATACACATTGCGTTATTAAACTGACAGTGATTTTTATTTATCAATTATTGAGTGTGATATTATTGTGTTCGGTGCAGTTTATTTTATAACGCTGATAATAATGAATCAACAAATTATCAAGGGTGAAGCTGCAGATACTGCAAATACTAAGTTAAGGGTGCTCATGTACTAAATGCCTGTTCGGGTTTCGCCTTCTTTTAAATTTCCAATTAAACTACACAAACAATTATACACACTGAAGCAGTTTAAGTGCAAAAAATGCGGATCGTCCTTTAATTTGCTATCTAATTTGCGTCCTAAATTTATTAGGGCATATTTTCAATTCTCTATATTATTTCTATGATTAATTGTGTTTACCACGCATCAAAATGGATTTTTTCCCTTCATATACCCTTTGATTCCTTTATGATTAAATCTCAATTTAGTTTAATTTTTTTAGCCTTGGATTAGTTCAGTTAGACTATTTTTTTGGAACATACGCGCGATGGCTTACATTATGTATACATATAGTGTATCACCTGTATCCTGTCTCTATGGCTCTTCCGTTTTACCGTCTATTTTAAACAGATGGAACGTCTTCAATCACCAAAATTAATTGAGTTTTTAGTCCTATTCAGATACAAGTTGTAGCAGACGTTCATGAGCAACATACACAAAAGCACTCGCAAAAACATGCTACAATGTGAAAAGTATTAAGTAATGCTGAACGTCAAAAACGATTTCGTGCTAAAAAAGGAGCATTAAGTAATAGATCAACTCAAAGCAGCTTTCATCAACCACGAACTAGTGCTGAACGTCAAAGATTATACAAAGCAAATAAGAAATGACGACAAAAAATACAGAAACTCAAGACGAAGAGTTTACACAAACCCAAGAAGAGCAATATGTACAACATCTCGTTAAAGAATGTTAAATGTTGCAAATAAGAAAGATATTTTACATTCAAAAATAAATTAAATTAAGTTTTACCTATTCCTGATCCATTTATAAATTATTAGACTTACAAGAAGATTAAAATTATTATTGACATCATGCGTTAGACAAGTAGTTATCACTTCTGTCGAGCGTCCCGTGACGCACTCCATTTTTTTTAAATATTGTTTGTCTAAAATATGCTGACTATAATTAAGACACACGAACCGCCACCGACTTGGGCTTAGTCAAAATGTAGTAAAACATCATAGAGGAGAGGGTGAGAAAATGCGCCCCAATGACGGTGTAGAAAATATACCGATACCAATAGTCGTTCTCCAAGGACTCGATTTCCCCACAGTACCACATCAGACACATCACCAAATTCTCCAGAAACATCAAGCTAAAGTAGGCGGCATAAATAAACTTGGTTTTTTTGAACCGAATTTTAAACTCGATAATGCAGAAAATGTACACCAGGCCGATGAATATGAAAAAGGCCGATTTGTCGCGTTTCACACTGTCCTCTTTCACGTCGTACGCGAGAGCCGCGATAACAATAAGAACGTGCGCGATCAAAAGCCCCACGCAAGTCCGCGGGTAAAAATACGCAAACACCGAAACAGCCAACACTCTGCTGAGCAAAAAGGTGAACCACCAAAGGAACGAGATCAGTTTCCCTGCAGCATCGTCCTCTCGAAGGCCTTTAATGTACGTTACTCTGGAGATGTTGTACAAGGCGCTATCTGGCACGGATGATACGCTCCTCACTCCCAACAGTGAGGAAAACCGGGCGATGTAAGTGGAAGTTCTACTCGTTAAAGTGTTTCTCTTCCAGGCTAAAAAATCGGACTTGCTCTAGTGCACAACTGCGCACATTCACACTCACTTTGCTCACTGGTGGAGGTTTGCAACGTTTCCTCAAAGGTATCAGTGACAGTGCCTGGGGAGGGTTCAGGTTCCAGATAAATGTCGCTGCTTCTTCTGCGCTCCGCCTGAATGGCGGGCTGTATATCGTACAGGCGAGTGATGTCATCGTTTGTTCGCCTTGAACCACGCTCTATCACCCTACCAACAGAACTTGAATAGACCTTCAATCAAGCCCCGCTAAATTCGCGCAAACACGAAACTGGCGAGTTTTTACGGGATTTTATGCAGTGGAGGAAAACAATGATTTTGGAATTTTGAACAAGCGAGCTGAGGACACTTGGCGCAGTCAGTAGCAAAATATCCACTTTTTATACAAACTTCTTGTTGGGTCTTTAAAAAAGGCAGAATTTCCTTAAGCCTTTTATTACAGATTGATAAATAGTGCTCATATTTCGCAATAAGAACGAATAATTATTAATAAAAGACGTGAGGAAATTCTGTCTTTTAAAGACAAAACTTTTTGAGGCGAAATACCCAGCAAGAAGTTTGTAAAAAAATGAATCCGCCTCAACAATATAGAACTGATCTAAAATATCCACTATTGCGCAAACCATGCTATGATTGTTGTAGAAAACTTTTCTTTAAAGGCATCAATGAACTTGAGCGACTTCAACCCACCTTCTCTGAGTTGAACTGGAGCTCCGCAAAATCACCTCCTCATCCGGCCCCTTCCCAGTGAACCCTTGGGATCGCATCTGCTTCCTGGCCTTCAGCCAGGGATAATGCGATCCCGTGAGCTTCTGAGCTCTGAACCTCTGGTAGAACGTTGTGGTGACAGCCACCTTAGCCAGGTTCAGAAGGATACTGACCGCCTGCGTGATTTCTAAATGTGTCCCCGGTTATCAACAAGTCTGAGCAACATAAGCAACAAAGCAATTTACTCGACTCTTTGGCGATGTCGCTGTTGTGCCGCATCAGGATGTGCAGCTGAAGAAGAACCTGCGGCAGCGAATGAAGATATGCTTGAAGAAACACATACAACTCAACCAGGCGGGGTTCGGTGGCTTTGGCAATGTTTTCTTCGATGGCTGTTTCGTCGGTGCTTCGCACAGCTTCGATGGACCAGAAGATCCGCTCGGCATGCCTTGAAGCGGATAGAAAACGGTTTTAAATCCCGAACCCCCGCAGACTCTACGTGTGATCGGCTACCTAAACACGTTCCATACAGGAAAAAACACGTGGCCGATGATTTTCTTGTACAGCCAATAGCTGTTGTCGCTCGTCATGCCGTTTTCCGGCTCCGGCCAATAATCCCAATCGGTCAGCGTGATAATCAGGCTGCCCATCGCCGGCAGGAACATGCAAAACAGCGTCAGCGACGCCCAAATCGGGTCGCCGTCTTTATAGTGGCGGAAAATGACGCCGATATCCGTCGCGACGATCAGCATGAACAAAAAGGGCGCTAGAATGGACGGAAATAGATGGTTCAAGAGGGCATTTTGGTGCGAACTCAAACCAAATCCGAAGACCGTTTTACTGTTTTGACTGTTTTGAGACATTGCATCGACTTCAAGCTGCAATTTAACACTCAATTGTGTGTTTCAACGGCGCGATAAAACAACGAATTTGATAAGATTAGCTGGCTTATAGGTAAATATGATAAGATTAAATCTAGCCACATCCCACATAGAACATGTGTCATCAGGGAATTGAATATTGTTTTTTATGAGAAGCTGAGAACGTTCAGGCCTGCCGCCTTTGGACTGTTTATCAGAAGCCATTTTTGAGACAGACGGCTTGCGGATGATCTTCCGCATAAAAACGTGCTGTTTTAGGGAGAAAATACATTTCATGGTGGAAAACTTGAGTATCCACTATCGACTAAAAGCTGAATGTTACAGAAATATTAAAAAAAAACACGAGTGCGATATGTTTTTATTTCAGCCACCCTGTATGGTTGAATTTTTTTTAATGTAGCCCACTGTGAACTAGAATTCTCAACTGGTTTCCTGGTTAAATAAAATGTCGATTGTAGGCGCCACCCTGTACACGACGGTAGCAAACATCATCAATTCATGCTCCATTTGGGGCAACATTTTCGCCGGTGTTTTATACAAAAAGACCGAGAATTTGAATAAGGCCTTCGTTGTTTCCGTAAAGCTCTCAAAATCCTCCATTTTGAAGGAAAATATTGATGCATTCGCCTACATTTTATGTCGAAGAAACTTTCCGCATTCGCCAAAAAAAACAAAAAAATCACTGTTGTCTGTTCAAGGACCGAAATTCAGAAAAACCGACCGCACAAAAGGGATTACAAAAGAATCACGGTATTTTCAATTAAAAATAACTGGTTTGACAACTGATTTTTTGAGACACCCTATATAGTTAAARCAAAATTTTAATTYCAGCGTACTTCCAAATTCCCGGTGAACTAAAGTGTCTATTCTATARTGCGCCACCCTGTAAAAGACAGCACAATTGCGTTCGATTCATGCTCTATTTGAGGCAAGTGCACCGTAKTTGACGSTRTTKTTCCAACAGAAATATWWAAAAAAAARCMCRAGTGTGATWYGTWTTTATTTCAGACACYCTGTATGGTTGCATCTTTTTTAAATATAGCCCACTGTRAATTAGAAATCCCAACTAGTTTCCTGGTTAAATAAAGTGTCGATTGTAGTCGCCACCCTGTACACGGCGGTAGCAAATATGATCAATTCATGCTCTATTTGTGGCAAAATTTTCGCCGTTTTATACAAAAAATACATAGTGGGCCCAAAACTTTCTGTTGAGTTCTCAAAATTCTCAATTTTGGATGAAAAATATTGGTGCATTTGCTTACTCTTTCTGTCAAATAAACTTATCGCATTCGCCAAAAAAAAATCCACTGTGTTTTCCGTTCAAGGACCGAAATTTAGAAAAACCGACCGCAGAAAAAATCACGGTATTTTCAATTAAAAAAAAATCGGTTTGACAACTGATTTTGCTGAGACACCCTGTATAGTTCAAACAAAACTTTCATTCCGGCGTGCTTCGAAATTCCCGTTAGTTTCCTGGTGAACTAAAGTCTATTCTATAGTGCGCCACCCTGTAAAGACAGCACAACTACGTTCGATTCATGCTCTATTTGAGGCAAGTGCACCATTTTCAACGCTGTTTTTCCAACAGAAATATTAAGAAAGACACGAGTTTGATACGTTTTTATTTCAGACACCCTGTATGACTGCATCTTTTTTAAATGTAGCCTGCTGTGAACTAGAAATCCCAACTGGTTTCCTGGTCAAAGAAATCATCGATTGTAGGCGCCACCCTGTACACGACAGTAGCAAATATGATCAATTCATGCTCTATTTGAGGCAAGTGCACCGTATTTGACGCTGTTGTTCCAACAGAAATATAAAAAAAACACGAGTGTGATACGTTTCTATTTCAGACACCCTGTATGGTTGCATCTTTTTTAAATATAGCCCAGTGTGAACTAGAAATCCCAACTGGTTTCCCGGTTAAAGAAATCGTCGATTGTAGGCGCCACTCTGTACACGTCAGTGGCAACTATGATCAATTCATGCTCTATTTGTGGCAAAATTTTCGCCGATTTATGCAAAAAGTCCGAAAATTTGAATTAAGCCTTTGTTGTTTCATACACAGTGGGCCCAAAACTTGTTGAGTGATGTTGAGTTCTCAAAATTCTTAATTTTGGAGGAAAAATATTGGTGCATTCGCTTACTCTTTCTGTGGAAGAAACTTATCGCATTCGCCAAAAAAAAAATCCACGTTGTTTTCCTTTGAAGGACCGACCGCAGAAAAAATCACGGTATATCCAATTAAAAAAAAACGGTTTGACAACTCATTTTGTTGAGACACCCTGTAGAGTGAAAACGAAATTTTAATTCGGGCGTAGTTCGCAATTCCCGTTAGTTTCCTGATGAACTAAAGTGTCTATTCTATAGTGCGTCACCCTGTAAAAGACAGCACAATTGCGTTCGATTCATGCTCTATTTGAGGCAAGTGCACCGTATTTGACGCTGTTTTTCCAAAAAAAAACACGAGTGTGATTTCTTTATTATTTCAGACACCCTGTATGGTTGCATGTACACGACAATAGCAAATATGATCAGTTCATGCTCTATTTGGGGCAAAATTTCCGCCGTTGTTTTATACAAAAAGACCGAGAATTTGAATTAAGCCCTCAAAATCGCCACCATTTACAAGGAACTTGGCCGCATTCACCCAAAATTGAAAAAAATCGAGTTACAAGCGTTGACACCAAGTGTCAGAAAGCAAGCACTGAGCGGCAGTCGCCCTGGCAACTAAAACCCATGTCTGTTCATGGCCAACTTTGGTAGTGTTGTTGCTGTTGATTATTACTGCAAACAGCAGCAAAACGCGCTGAATCAAGCAACCGAACGGCGAGTTGGCTCGCCTCTCTCACTCGGCTTGAGCAAAAAAAAAATGAACATTTGAATAGCCCGCGCTCTAAGAGGGCATCGGGTGGCGCACTCGTTGATCAAATTGGTGAAATCACAAGAGAGTGGAAATGGCAAGATGGAGTCGTTTCGACGTTTGTAATGCGGTTCGTACGGGTAATGCAACGCGACAATTTAATGTACAAAATCGTAAGTGATCAAATGAACTAAACCAGCAGCGCTTCGAGTGAAGAGTGCAGAAAACTGATCGGAATACCCGAAAAACACGAAGAGGAAGTTCCCACACCGACTCGACTGCTCATGGTAAGAATCCCTAATTTTGTTTTGTTGCTGTCGGTCTCTGTTTATCAATGTCCGCCTTCATGATGCAAGCGGAGCCTTTCGGGCTCCGCTGCCGTTTAGAGGCGCCAACTCCACCCCAGCAGCTCGACTCCCGCTTGCTCTAAAACACCGTCGCCCGGGAGAAATCAACATTTCGATAGAAGATATCACCTGATTGGCTGTATTCGACGACTTAATACCGCTGTGTGTTATTTTAGCCAATTAAATCGCCCGTCTCAATGCAGTTGTCGACATTTTCGATGGGCAAATTCGGCCAAACTGGGCCCCTCATTCATCGGAAAATCGCCTTTTTTACGCCGATCCGCAATCGAATTGAGGACATGCAAATGCGATCCCGTCTAGGGAAATCTAATAATGTCGATTTTAAAATGCGGCTGATTTCGGAATTAAAGAATGGCGTCGCCAAAGTTCATTGTTCTCTCACTGCTTTTAATTGCCTTCCTATCTTCAATCGTTTTCAGCAATTGCACATTTTCCACATGGATTTTTTCCATCGAAAACTCTTTCCATCCGCCCGGAATTCTCCATGGAACAATTAAAATACCCTTCCTTCGATCAGCCCCAGTCTAATCGCTCAGGTAGGCACATTTTAAGGGGACATTAGTCAGCTCTCTATTTATTGATTTTCAATTGTTCAAGAAGAATCAAGCAGGCATGTTTATCCACCGCGAGCGGACGAAATTCGGAAATTGGCCAGTTTTCACAATTCAAATTTCTTCATTAAAAACAAGCAATTTCAACTTCCAACTGCTCTAGTTTCTGTGGCAAAACCCTCGAAATGCTTATTTCATCGGGTCGTCGAAACCCAATCGCCTAAAAATAGCATCGGCTTCGAACCCAAAATCTCCCCGTGTTAACACTGTCTGACAATTGCAGCTTTCAGATCGGAAGAATACTTAAATGGCCTTATTTAAAGGCAACTTTTCTGCTTTATCGCAACCGTGCTGGCAAAGCGAATCGCCCATCCCATGACCAGCTTTTGGTTTAGGTGCGAAAAAGGCGAAACTCACGATAAACTCGAACTTTGAATACATTTTTCCATCGATCAATTGAACATAAAGGAAATTTTAGCAATTAAAAATGAACAAAACCCAACCAAACACAATATGACGATCCCAAAACACTCGGGCCGCATAAACTAGTAATCGAAAAAAAGAAATTTAGATTGCGGTCTAATGAAAACGCTTGAAAATGTTCAAGTTTCCACGTAGCCTGGTCTCCACTGGAGAAACTTTTGCATATTGACTTTCAAACAATCGCTGTCCTGCTAACAGGACCACTTTTGACTAACTCTGTATATTTCAACGGTGATCTGATTTGAGGGAAGCTTTCAGTATTGCGGCTCAACTGTACCCTAAAATATCTAGAAACTTGATTTTTCTGCTTGGCACTTTTTTACTTCTTTTTTATTTCTGTATACTTTTGAACGGGAATCTAGTTTTTTTTTTTTATTTATTTAGCTCTGTTAAACCTTGGTGTTAGGCAACACCAGGTTCATTTAGCTATATTATAAATTATAAGCATATAATATAAAGCAGCATATATAGAGCACGGATATACAGGTAATGAATATATAGGTGATGAAATGATATTTAGGCTTGCAAGCGAAGACGCAAGGTGGTTACGGGAATCTAGTTTAAGTCAACTGTTGAACAAACGGAAACTATAACTTTGAGACACGTCAAGTTTCTACGCGAACTTGTTTATGCTGGACGAATTTTTTAAAACGGACCTTCAGTCTGCACAATTGTTGATGTGTGTGTTGTGGTCTTCTTCTTCTTTCTCAGCCATTCATCATCCACTCCTGGACGTAGGCCTCATTCAAATGTTTCCACTCCGATCTGTCTTTTTGTGGTATTCACTTGTACTCTCATATAAATATATTAACAGTCTTAATCAAACTTTGAGAAAATGTAGGCGAAAGCCTACGGAAAATACTGCAAAAACTTTAAAGTTTTTCTCAGAACTGACTAAATTCTAGCGACAACACTGTAAGATATTTAAGTTTGTATGTGATTGTGGACGAATTTCTGCGTGATACTTTGAAAAAATGGACACTGAACGGCAGTCAAAACGATTTGGAAACTGGCTGGTTCGACCAAAACTGGTTTGGACTGGATGATTTTTAAATTTTACCTCAAGTGCGGGACAGTTGTTACTTAACAGGATCAATATCATTTAATATATCTGGTTAATTCGATTGTGATATAATTTGAGTGAAACTTTACTGGGAAAACTTCAAGTTTTTTTACTTATTCTCTTCATACACTTGCAAAGATTAAGAATTGAGAAGAATTTTGAGACTTATTCCAGAGAAACTTTGCGAATATCTGGCCACAAGTCAATAATTTTTTTTTAATTTCTGGACCATGAATTTACATGCACATGTGAAAAGAGAGAGAAGCATATATGCGTTTATTGATATCAAAGAGAGATGAAAAACGAGGCGGCATTTAATATTTAGAAAAAATTAATGGTTTACTTGGACTTTCACTGGTTTCAACATGCTTTTTATCAATACGTTTGGGTCGCTAGTATTCCCGAACCATCTTCAGCTCGCCTAGTAACAAAATCTGTGTATCTGTCGCATGTAGCCGTTTATACAATGATAGGCTAAAATAGTGTCTTCTGTTTTCAACTTTTTACATAAAAAAACCTGAGCGGCTTTATTGCTGCTTAAACCGTTCATTTTTTTCTTCTTATTATCATGTCATATCACAACGTTTCGGTTCGCAACATCTCCAACCGTTTTCAGGTGAACACTGAAGCGCACGCTTAAAAAACTCACTTCAAATACACACTTTAACGCTGACTTGTGGCTGGATGCATGCTGTTTACTCGACGCAGCAACCAGATCTGAAGATGCAAGGCACTCGCGCTGGCGAAACGTCCGCAAGAAATTCTATTTCAGTGACGGAGTTGCTTCCAGAACGGGAAATTTTACGAACCAATACACTTTTTCCATATTTAGGGCACCATCCAACCCCTACTGCGTATAATCAATTGAACGTTTCCACACATACGCTTGATGAGAAACAAGCAAAACATGTAATGATTATGGCGGCTTAAGTGTAAAGTTGGGTGCGAAAAAACACAATTAAATCCTCGATTCGGAAGGAAACGAATTTAGTTCCCGACCAACCCAGTAAAACAGTGTTTCAGACGCAATTCACGTTCTTATTAGCGGGGTGAATAATGGGCGGCTTAATCCGCAGCCAAGATGGCAAGATGGGAGCGCCGCTTCAGAGTACAACTCGAGGGGTGGAAAGCTGTAACGCTAATGGTATGAAGAACGCATAAGCGTATAGCTTTTCCCCTTCGGTTTCTACCGCCAATTCTGCCAGAGAGGACGCATTTTCAAACTGCTACTATTTCTACTTGTGTTTTGCCCAATGTTAGGCAAAAATTGATTTTTATTAAAAAAATAAAAAATCACTGATTTATTTAAATTAAATTTTATTAAATCAATTGATAAATCCGCTTAATTAGCTGTTTTAAAGTCATTGCGAGTTGAAACGATTTAATATTTGTTCGAACGCGTTTTCGACGGAAAATTCTTGTTGCAACGGCCGGCGACTCGTTTTCGCACGTTGCCCGGCTTAATCTAAAAATGCCGTCGCCTTTCTTCGGTCTTATTCATTTCGTCACAAAATTTCAAGAGAGGCTAATGTTGAAAAGTGTGTACATTTTTTGTGTTTGTGTA